CATCAGATGGGCTAAAATAGATGTTTTACTTCAGCATATTTCATGTGCAGACTTCCTTCTAACCCATGTCTAACCGCGCTATGTCCTAAAAGCAAACCTTGTGATTTCTATGTGAACAGTTAAAGCTTAATATCGTGAAACCCTAGTTTGGTTCAGGCTTGAGGCCTACTTTGGTTCAGCCTGCCACCTTAGTCCCCCCTTTGTGTAGCCTTTAAAAAATTTAGGAAAGTAAATATTTTGTGCCTTTGCAGTTTCGAAATCCTCTGTCTGATCCGCCAAAGAGATTTGGGGGAATATGTGTTAACTGCAGAGGGAAGGAGAATGGAAAAGTTTATTTTTGTCTGCTAATGTTAGGCATCCCACATTACTATTTCATGTTTATTTTACACAGAGGTTTAAAGTTTGATGGAACCGGCTCTCTCAAACCCCTACTTACTTACATGCTACCTGAAAATTCCAAGACAGTTACCAAACACTTACAGATTAAACTAAAGTGCAATAAAGCTTTTAAAAAAACACTTCACTATGAACTTTAGATACAGAATTTAAAAACTGGAAAAGTTATTATCAAGAACTTTTACGGATTTTGAACCTTTGGGATAGAATTGTCAGCCATTGGGTGGAGGAGGTTAAAATAATGCAAGCACTTTCTATAAATTGAACAATGCAGAGGAAGAACAAGATATGCATCATGCTGAGCAAATATTACACCCAAAAGTGTTCAAAGGCACTAAGTGAAGTTAAATGCCTTATACTTCCCAATAGGTAGTATTATCTCAGCATGACAGATGTTGTGAGGCACTGCAGAATGATTTTGAGCTTAGATTATTTTTTAAAGCATATTATTAATCATTATATTGTTTCAGCACGATCCTTTTTTTCGACCCTTGCTTATATACTCTTTTGCTAGACTGCCCCACAAATCAGTATTTAATTGTTCTTCAGTTTTGCCTGTATTGAAATTGGCCACACTTTGGGTTGCCTTGTGCAAAGATAATTATTTTATTTGCTTGTGGCTTAATGTATACACATGTATCCAAAACAGAACATGTGAAGCTGCCACAAGAAAGGTGGCATGGGTTAAAATGGTAAAGGATGGGTTTGCATTACTATGGCTTAGTGTAGAAGGAATTTCCAAACTCCTGGTTGGCAGATCAATGTTTTTAGCCTATTTGGGGGGAAGGGATTTGTCCATGAGGTTTTAATGGGTGAAATGCATGTCAAAATGTTTGCAGCTTTGAATCAAAACAACAACAGACATTGGCTCCAACATACTCCCTGCAGTTCTACTTAAGAAGCCATCCCAGTCAAACTTTGAATCAAAATTGTGTCCCCTGTCAACATACACACACACACACACACACANCCAGTCATGTTGGCTCAGGAATTCTGGCATTGAAGTGTGCAAATCTTAAAGCTGTCAAGTTACAAGACCCTTGCACCCCTAACCCTTTAGAAAAAAAACCCCAGGGGTGTTCAAACGTGACAAGCTTTAAGACTTGTGGACTTCAACTCCCAGAATTCTTCCTCTCGCTCTTCATCTTGATGATGTGCGGACAGGCGAGGGGAGGGAGCTGGAACCGGTTCTAAATAGCACTGTAGATTTGTGGAACCTCTTCTATAGAAGAGGTTAGAACTAGTAGGAACCACCCCTGCCTCACTTGCTAAACATTTTATTTCTTTATCTGCTTGTGTATTAACTGATTCATTTTTGTCGTGTTTATACCTCATACAACAGCCAGAAAGGTTCTCAATTTTAAAAAAAAGACACAAGTCTCCAAAGTGTTGGGCATCCGCACCATGAAGTCACTCACAGTAGCTAGCCAGTTTTAGGGAAACTGTGCCTCTTAGTAAGAGCACTTCATTCTAAATGCACCATTGATTTCAGACAGATCTGACCTTTTCAAAGACTGTATCATGTGGATTAAAATAGAACATTCATGAGTTCCTGTGAACATTTTATTTGTCAAATATGTGTGTGCCTTTTTCATATATTTGGCTGTTTAACAAAATGGCAAATACATCTTTGAAATGTGTAAATGTAACTCCTCAACCCATGATAGTGACTCATAAATAAAATCGGAGAAAACATGATGGTGAAAAAAGTTATCCATTATTTAGTTGGCCATTCAAACTTGTTGGAAACTGTTCCAGGCTTAGCTTATTTCTGGTTGATATTGTTACATACAATCCTGACAAAGCTTGCAAAATTAATGTAGAATACTAACATTGGACTTAAACAATATTGTTAATATTGGACTTAAATAGACTCCAATAAGGATTATTAGTAAAAAATTTATTTTTCAGTTGTTCAAATGTAATCCACAAATTTTTCAAGTCATATCAAAAATTATTTAAAATGCTGGGATTTTTTTTAAAAAAAACAACAGTGTTCACTCCAGCTTTACTGATTGACTGAATGTTGTTTCTCCTCCTTGTGTTTCCAGAAAAAGGATCGGTAACCAATTCATTTTATACATACACCCATGTAATATATATGTATAATGAATAAATGACAACCAAATTTGAATAAATATATCCTTCATATCAGTGGTTCTCAACTTTCCCAATGCCGTGACCCTTTAATACAGTTCCTCATGTTGTGGTGACCCCCAACCATAAAATTGGTGTCTTGGTTCCTAAGAACATCCAAAATATGTGTTTTCCAATGGTCTTAGGCGACCTCTGTGAAAGGAGTCCCGACCCACAGGTTGAAAACTACTGCTTTCTATCATATATCATCCAAAGCTCTTTGTTATGTTAGCTGATAGACCAATTTCCAGACTTTGAAATACCAATAAAATGTATTTTTTATTTTTTTCAATAGTTTATTATAATAAATGGGGCAGCAAACAATAGGAAATGAATCAGTTTTTGCCTG